GCGCTCCCTCAATAGCCTTGCTTGTTACCCGAAGAAACAAGGAGCCTCTGCAAGTGGGACCTAAGTGTGCAACGCAACCAAAGCTGCCTTCTAAGACGATTTATGAATATTCGATCTCAAGTGTAATTAAGTATCCTCGAGAGGGAATCTTTAAGTGGTGGTCTGAAACTTTTCGTCCCTGATGAACGGAACATCCAATAATATAGCATATCCCACATGTTCACCACCAAACTGTCTTTTTAAAGTACAAATTTGCACTTCTGTGTTGGTCAGTGGTTCGAGGTACTGATCTCCCCCAATGTTCGGGTTTTCAGACCAGGTTCTCCTAGAGGGAAAGAAAGTTTTTCGTGAATTACAAACTATTAAGGGTGAATTGTAAACTTTTTTTCAGCGCTCTCCAAGAAAAGCAAAATTCGAAAATTTATGAAAATGAGTATTCATATAAAAAATAGCTTAACTCTTTGCAACAACAATGGTACAAGAATCAATGTTCTACAAACTTTCTACAAGAAAATATTGATACATGGCAAGAAGTGAAGGTCAAAATAGAGTGTAAATTTACGCTGTAATCATAAAGTGTTTGATAAGATTGAGCGAAAAGATTAGCAATTATGCTAGAGTGAAAAGAAAAATAAATAAGTGATTTCCTATCAGTTTTCTTATGGTCTAAAATAAGTTTGGGCAAATATTTCCTGTTAGTGGGTTCGGTGAGAAGGAGCTGCCTGGTATGGGCCAGTAGGCCTGTTGCAGTGTTCCTCCGTATTCTTATGTACTTATCGACCAACCGGGCTGTAGTTCGTACGTCAGTTAGCTTGCGGCTAGCGTAGCACCTGGGGTGATCAGACCCTGATATACCACCACGATGCCTGGTGCTCAGACCGACCGCGGGGCGGGTTGAACCCGCCGAAACCACCTCATCCAGGTAAACTCCAGGTTTTCCTACGTGGGTACCGGATTGAAAGTGGATTGAAAGTAAGTGTACTCTAGACATTTCCCACAAATAGTTAGCAATATCAGTGGTACTCACGGGAAAAGCGCTAAAGTCCGTTTGGACCTACAGCGCAAGGGGAATGGAAAAACACCGGGTTTGATCCCGGGATGTGTAGGGTAGACCGGTGACCTGTGATCAAGAGATCTACACCAGCATCAAGGCTCCTCAACTCAGAAGGGAGATTAACGTCAAGTATTATTTCTTGCTTGTATTCTCTCCTCGTTTATTCACTGGTTGGTAGACTTTTGACCACTGACACGCCACTAACATACCACCGACACACCACTGACCCACTGACCACCTCTGTCACACCAGTCGACACCACTGACACATCACTAACGACACAAATGAAACCACTGGACCAATCCTAGTGCCGCGGCAATGACACAACCTAGAAGAGGGACTCTTAAAAATTAATTATTATTATTATTAATATTATTAGTTATTATTATTATTATTATTATTATTATTAATAATTATAATATCGGGGAGCCAAAATAAACTCGAAGGGTTATACATTCAGTCTACAAAGCCACGGCAACCCTTTTCAATTCTCTCAATTTCCTCTCCCCAATTTTCCCAGCACTTCTCCCATCTCCTTCCAAACCCCTGCCTTCTGTTTTCCCTCCCTCACGACTCCTCCCGTCTCTCCCTTAACCCCCTGCCCTCTCCTTCCCCTCCCGTCCCATCAAGTATTTCAGAGCGAGCACCGGCCGCGGTAGTGTATAACTACATTGTATACATACTGGAAGGCATGTTATGTTCTTACATTACCAGTTTGGTGATGGAATTTGGCACCCCTGGAAGGTAGAGGGGCAGCAGGTGTGTGTGTGTGTGTGTGGTAACAATCATTATTATACGTATTTCTAGAACTTTTAAATCCATGAGGGTCCGTACAAAACGCATGAAGGACATGAAAGGTACTCAGGTTTGATTCGTGGATGGGGAGATTAGCCTAGCATGGGTCAGTACCCTGTTCTTATACTATTAAATGCTGATGTTAATTATTTACTTGCCTGGTTCCTTATAGCACAAATATTCATGATTCTGTCTAGATTGTTCAGTAAAATAAACCATACCACGGATGGGGATAGAACCCGCGATTAGAGAGTCTCTCTGATAGCGGGTTCTAGCCCCGTCCGTGGTATGGTTTGTTTGCAATAGTGTCATTACGATTTCGTGAGTCATGTTCAATAAAATAATTGTAAATCTTACGTCTGAGCTTTCTTTCTCAACGTCTGGAGCAGAAATAGTAATCACTGATGATATTAATGTACGTAGGAAGCATCATTGCCCGCGACTCCTACAGCAGACACATTAATCATTAATAATATTACGTAGCCAGCATCATTGCTCACAACTACAGAAGGCATAAAAAATCATCATTGGTTCTATATACTGAGACATCCTCACCCCTCGGCTCCAGCAGCAGAAATGACAATGGATGAAAGTTTGACGTAATGATGTCCTCTCCCCCCCCACCACGGCTCCTGCAGCACAATGATAATACAGCTACGTGAGGGGAGGCCACCCTCCTCCCCCGCAGTGTCGCCTCTAGAATAAATAATGATGGCCACCGCCCCAAGATCACCCTGGAACTGTGTCCTCCTAGTTGACGATATTTTGTAATTTTAATCGATATGGATACTCGCCGAGTGATTAGCTATATTTATCAAACTCTTTCCACTCAGAAAGACGTTGTCTGATTATTCATTATAATGTTAATAACGATATAATAATAATAATAATAATAATAATAATAATAATAATAATAATAATACAGGGTAAATGGCCAAAATGAGCAATCAGCCTCATAGTGTTCACAGGCCTGAAAATAGTTGCTAGTGTCCGAAACTGGAGTTAAAAGCAAATGGACCTCACATACATACCTGGTATGACAATTACATTCACTGGAAAGTCTTCTAACTAGCCTCTTTCCCCTCAAGGAAGGTCTTGATGTTGGTGAGAGGGCTCTTGATTTAGGATTGGATCTGTGCTCAGTTCCCCGAATTAACCTGAATGCCTTGCACTCCCCCCCCAGGCTGTATTACCCCCGGGTTTAGGCTTCCCCCCTTTATTATAATAATATAATAATAATAATAATAATAACTGCCTCTTGTATGTGTGCGGATTAAAAATGTAATTTAGATTAATAGTTTACAGGCGAGAGAAGCCGCC